CCTACAGGTGCGTTATCCGTCCACATCTGTATTAGTCCGTCCACATCTGTATATGTGTGTCCACATCTGTATATGTGTCCACATATGTATATGTGTGTCCACATCTGTATATATGTGTCCACATCTGTATATGTGTGTCCACATCTGTATATGTGTGTCCACATTTGTATATGTGTGTCCACATCTGTATATGTGTGTCCACATCTGTACATGTGTGTCCACATCTGTACATGTGTGTCCACATCTGTATATGTGTGTCCACATCTGTATATGTGTGTCCACATCTGTATAGGTGTGTCCACACCTGTATATGTGTGTCCACATCTGTATATATATGTGTCCACATCTGTATATGTGTGTCCACATCTGTATATGTGTCCACATCTGTATATGTGTGTCGACATCTGTATATGTGTGTCCACATCTGTATATGTGTGTCCACATCTGCATATGTGTGTCCACCACAGATGTGGACACACATATACAGATGTGGACACACCATATACAGATATATGTGTGTCCACATCTGTATATGTGTGTCCACATCTGTATATGTGTGTCACATCTGTATATGTGTGTCCACATCTGTATATATGTGTGTCCACATCTGTATATGTGTCCACATCTGTATATGTGTGTCACATCTGTATATGTGTCCACATCTGTATGTGTGTCCACATCTGTATATGTGTCCACATCTGTATGTGTGTCCACATCTGTATAGGTGTGTCCACATCTGTATATGGGTGTCCACACCTAGGCTGTATATGTGTGTCCACATCTGTATATGGGTGTCCACATCTGTATAGGTGTACGTGTCCACATCTGTATATGTGTCCACATCTGTATAGGTGTACGTGTCCACATCTGTATATGTGTCCACATCTGTATACATGGGTGTCCACATCTGTATATGGGTGTCCACACCTGTATATGTGTGTCCACATCTGTATATGTGTCCACACCTGTATGTGTGTCCACATCTGTATAGGTGAGCAGTCACGGCTGGCGGTTACTGTTAGGTTTCCTCGCCGTGACGCCGTAGTCGGGCGGCCTTTGCAGAGAGAGAGAGAGAGAGAGAGAGAGAGAGGCCCCCTCCTTCTCTCTACATATTTGCCTAGCCGCGTTTCCTTTCTGTCGACAAGTAGTGGAGACATTCCACACAGTTCCATTACTCCGCTAAAAAGAAACGACCTTGGCTGCTCTCTATATCCTTCTCCATGAAAAAACAAGAGTTGTTTTGGTGCTGCGCGCATGAGCGGCAATTTGGGGAGGGGCAGGCGGCCTCCTTGGGGCAATTTGGGGTGGGTGGGGGTGAGACCTCAACCACCTTTGGCACCTACTTCACTTTCTGCAGGACATAACGGGCGCGGAGAGAGAGAGAGAAGAGAGAGAGAGAGAGAGAGACAGGACAGAGAGAGCGAGAGAGCGACAGAGAGAGCGAGAGAGAGAGAGAGACAGAGAGAGCGCGAGAGTGAGAAGGGGAGTGGCAGAGAGGAGGAGCGAGTGAGAGGGAGAAAATGAGAGTGGGAGAGAGAAAATGACTTACAGACACACAGGCACATGCACACACACACACGCACGCACGCACGCACACACACACACACACACACACACACAATAACACACACACACACACACACACACACGCACGCACCACGCACGCACGCACGCACACACACGCACGCACGCACGCACGCACACACTTACGAGAGAGAGCGAGAGGATGAGAGAGACGGGGCAGCGAGACGAGAGAGAGAGAAAGAGAGAGAGAGAGAGAGAGAGAGAGAGAGAGAGAGAGCGAGCGCTAGAGCTAGAGCTAGAGAGTGCTATAAACTTATGCGATGGCCTGTGTACATGCGTTTGCGCTCTCGGTCACCTCTCTCTCGCGCTCTCTCCTTGGCCTAATATCGTCCGAAGTACACACGGATTATGTACGCTGTGCCTTTGTGTTCTTTTATATAGAAGTCCACTCTGGTTGTTAATTCTATTGGCCGGGGCCAGTGGTGAGAACATCGGGCGAAAGAGAGGGAGAGAAGGGGAGGGGGAGAGGGAGAGAAGGGGAGAGAGGGGGAGAGGGAGAGCAAGGGAGAGGGAGAGAATTGGAGAGATTGAGAAGGACCACACGTGAAAGGGGAAGGCAGGGAGATGGAGGTCGAGAGGAATTGAGTGCGAAAGAGAGGAGAAAGGAATAGAGAGAAGGGCAAATCTAAAGGGCAGCGGCGGGGGCTTGGGTAGTGATATGAAAAGTGAAAGTAATAACTAGAGGAAGAGTGGAAGGACGGTTGAGTGCTTATTATCTGTTGAGCAGAGCTCTTGGCGTAGGCCAGCGAGCTGGGGGTTTGTTGTTGTTTAATTCGAGTCGGAATTTGTCACGGTCGCTTGGATTAAAGAGCAAGTATGAATGGAGTCGTCTTGCAGGAGTGTTTATTGACTGCAAGGCGTGCTAGTGAACGAGTGTGTGCCTACTGGCTAGTTGCTACCCCATCTCCCTCCTCGTTTTCGCTCATCTATTATTCCCTCGTTCTCCAATGCCTTGCTGGTTATTTTGAAAGATGCGTCGAAATATTCCCTCTCTGATATATCGTAGATTTGCATGTGAAAGGAGGACTATAGCTCTAGTGGGAGGCTCTCTTATTTTCAACCCACACGTTTGCAAAATTAGCAAGTGAAAGGTGGGTTGCCAGATTGGAATGCTCGTTTATGCTGAACCTTAGCAAAATGCAAGAATTTTGCTTTTGTTCAACAAACAATGCTCTCTCCCTCTTTTCTCTCTCTCTTTCTCTCTCGCTCTCTCTTTCTCTCGCTCTCCCTCTCCTCCCTCTCNCTCTCTCTCTCTCTCTCTCTCTCTCTCTCTCTCTCTCTTTCTCTCTGTCTCTCTCTCTTTCTCTCTCTCTCTCTGTCTCTCTCTCTCTCGGAGGGAGCGCGTGTCTATTCCGAGCTGACAGGAGCAGCGGCGTGCCGAGGCCTGGCAGAACATTACCGAAAATAATACGCCGAGGCTGTGTAACTTGTTAGGAGCAGTCGTCTGCTGTAAACACGCGGCCTTCGCGCAGAGGTTACTAACATAGAAGCACAGGCACTTGAAGCGTTTCAATAAAATATAATGCTAACTAAATACGAAATCTATAAACTACCAAATTCTTAATGTTTCTATACTCTCTTTCACTTATTATTGCCGACAGTTTTCTGTCAAATCCTACGTGCAACAATATACGCTGCCGGCGCCATTGCTTTCGCGGCTCCACTGTTACACGCTTACACTAATATATATAGTTAATACACATAATAGTTAATATATATAGTTAGTTACTATATATATTAGTGTAAGTGTGCAACAGTGGAGCCGCGAGAGCAATGTCGCCGGCAGCGTATATGGTTGCACGTAGGATTTGGACGGAATTGACAGGAAACTGTCGGCAATAATAGGTGAAAGAGAGTATAGAAACATTAAGAATTTGGTAGTTTATAGATTTCGTATTTAGTTAGCATTATATTTTATTTAAACGCTTCAAGTGCCTGTGCATAGAAGTACGTTGCTAAGGTACTAAGGTACTACGTACTAAGGCACGACGTTACTATAAGGTAGAGGCAGTACGTCTGGCTGCTGGCTGGTTCAGGGGTTCAATGCGTGCGCGTGATCGCGTGTGAGGATGGTGATAGCTAGGTTTAGTGGTCCGTGTGTGCGCGCGTGTGTGTGTGCGTGCGTGTGTGTGCGTACGTGCGCGCGTGTGTGCGCGCGTGCGTATGTGTGTACGTGCGTACGTGCGCAGGTGTGTGCGTGTGTGTGTGTGCGTGCGCGCACACGTGTGTGTGTACGTGCGTGCGTGCGTGCGTGCGGGCATACGTATGGTTGATGATTCCAATTTGCTGCCTACAAATTGCTGCCTACAATTTGCTGCCTAGCAAAGTATTTTGACCATGAAACTGGCCGGGCACGATGCCAATACTATCAAAAAATGCAGTAAAGTCGGAATAAAAAAGGACGGCTATGGCCTCGTAAAATTCACTCAGGAACGATTGCCTATAGCTAGGCTACGTACCTGGAAGCGGCCGTAAACGTATATATATATATACGAACTTGCACCTTTCAGCACATAGTGCCGAGAGCACGTGTACGCGGTGTGAGCGATATGAACGGAGATGGCGTTCGTGATGGCCGATGTTACCCAAATTGTTCGATTATTATATCCATCTCACGATATGTCGATGGCTATGTCATGCCTCATGCTGTGTGATTCCCTCATCGTCACACATCATGACACATACTGTACGTGTATCGTGACACATGCTGTACATGTATTGTAACACATACTGTACGTGTATTGTAACACATACCGTATGTGTATTGTAACACATACTGTACGTGTATTGTAACACATACCG